TTGCTTGCACGGTACAGCAGGGCAGCGAAGAGGCGGGACGCCAAGCCGTTGTCAGGAAAAACGGATCTTTACACTGTCGCATAGTGTAAGGCGCAGGCCAGCTATGTGCTGGGATGTTCCGCTCAACCTGCAAAAATTATATTTACACTTGAAACTCATTAAAATATTGAATAAAAAAATGTCCTACTACAGAATTTTATATCAACACGTCATCAAGTTCGATAAGTAGATCGATGACATAGCATCGCTCTTTTTAGTTGCATGCTGAAGCAACGCAAAACAGACGAAGACGACAAATCTTGTTTTTTGTTTTGTTTTTTTAGATAACTTATCGCATCACGCATAAAATATGATCAAAGGACTGGTACACATGGATCTCGATACAAATGTGCCGAAAGGATAGCGACTATGGGGCTCACGCCTTACAAATATTGACACATCTTGTAATCCCTAAGACACATTATTACATCGCCACCAGTTTTACCGAAGAAATAAACTCACCCTGCAATGCAGTCGCAAGATGCTTGAACGATATCGGTGCTCTTAGAAAGCAATATCAGTTGCCTGTAATGTCCCAGCTTCATAGACGGTGCACACGTGCTCCTTACAAGGTGAACGGTGTGGCCAGGATCAAAGTTGTTCACCATGACCTTCTTGACGTAGGCTTCTTCTTTGAAGGCCCATCCTTTCCGGAGTTGTCTGCAGTTCTTCACGAAGTACCGATCGACGCACGTTGTGTTGACGACCGACCGGTACCAATGCAGCACCGGCACTCCATCCGTCTTGAAAAGCGTACAGAAAGATAAACTCCGCAGTGTCGAAGACGGTTGCTTTACTCGATCCTCCGGGATCGTCATCAGCCATTTGTAGAGAACGACAGCCGGAAAACAGCGAGAAAAGCTTTCCACAATGAACGCACCGAAATGATTGTGTCGAGGAAGCAAACGGGGCGACGGGTTGACGAACTGAGCCCACAAACGTTTTGAATTATCCCTACGAGGGTGCGCCACAGTCGCTTCAACGAACTCTGAAAAAGGTCAATTGATAATTTGCAATACATACGTTACACACACTAAACTGTTCTCATGAAAAGCTTTCTAAGTCAGGCTTCTGGTTTCAAATATGCATGTGTACTTCAAAGCTTGTGAATACAAGAATAAAATAGAAAACACCAAATAATACAAGTGGGATAAAAATTATATGCAGGACGAAACCCTCGAGCTGAACATTTACGAGCCAACTGAACAAGAAGCTGCGCAGTCAGCACCTCCAACATCCAAGAGGATTTTGGAATACATTTTAGCGCTCAAAAAACAGGGACAAAGAGGCGAGAAACAGACAGCACAGTGCGCAGACAGCACAGCACAGTGTGCTGTCTGTTTCTCGCCTCTTTGTCCCTGTTTTTTGAGCGCTAAAATGTATTCCAAATTCCAAAACCAACTAGCCCAGCAATCGACTCTACTGAAATCCAAGAGGAACCGCCGCCACACAGAGGGAGCGGCACCAAACAGGGCGGTGCTGCTGCAGGCAGCCGTTGACAGTCTGAACACTGACAAGGAGCCGCCGCAGCCGGACGAGTGCAGGAGCTTTGGGCTCATGATGGAGAGCTGCGCCCGCAGTGTACCAATGGGTGCGGACAGGCAGCTGGCCATGCTGGCCGCCCACAGAATTATGGTGGAAAACTCCATTGCAGCCGGTTTGGTCATGGTGCCTGAGGTAGTGGAAGGAGAAAATTAAAAGAAATTTGAGCTTTAGTTTGAGCTTTATATGTTTTTTTTTGTTCCACAATGCCCCACACTTTCTCACTGGTTGTGTGCGGTGCTGAAAAAAGGTACTCGACGAAACATGCACATTTGTGATAAGCTCCGAGGTGGACCCCCCACCCGTGCTTACACTAGGTACTTTTCTGTTTCAGTGCTTGTGCCTTCTGCACCGCTGCAAAAATGTGCTCAGGCTGAGCAGTCAAATGGGCTGAAGGAGGAGACAGAGAGGACGCAGGCAGTCTACAGCAAAGCTGTAAACTGCCGGTGCAGAAAAAGTACACGGCAAGACGATATATCAAATTCTAATGCAAGATAATGAGCTTTGCGCATGCTCAGGAAAGAACCTTTCTCTGTGCACACCGACAACCCCCCTTGCAGATAGAGACGGTCCGTTCACAGGCAAAAGCAAGGCAAATTGGACGTGTCAAGTGTTTACACAACATCCGCCTTTAAAATATGACGACACTGGTTCGTGCTGTAAACTAGCAATTTAGCCACTGCGCTGCAACTGCTAACCTGGGGGGTCTTTACCATGTATCATGGAGTGACAACACAACCATATGCTCGTGCCATGCTCGTCCTTATTATAACAAGCAGGAGAGGGAATTGAACCAAGCATCATTTTGTCCTTCAGTGCAAGCATTCGGTCCCTCCAATCACTGGGTACAGTGTAGCAGATTTTGCTCAAATAAGTGGAGACTGAAACCGGACCACAAACTGCCACTTTCTCAGGCTCCTCACCCTCGTCAATAGAGTTTCTGTTATTTTGTGTTGAGGTTCATAGGCCAACTGTGTGCGTGTTTCATTTTCACAGCCAGTGTGTTAAACTTGTTCAATATGCTGGAGTGTCTTGTCTCTACAGGGTGAAACAAGGGCCAGGCTCTTTAAATCGACCGGAAAATTCGGTTTCTTAACCTATCGTGCTAAGACCTTGTGCAGCGTTGCCCACAGATGGTGCATTTTTTTTTTTTTTTTTGTAAAATTTGCGAAGAGCGAACTTACCTGAGGAAAAAGTAAAGAAAGAAAAAGGCTTAGGTCTTATGGAAACGCAGTGACGCCACCAGTCTGCAAACAACACGGCGCCGTTTCGCACGGGAGATAAGAGATGGCGCAAGCGGTCGCGACGCCAACTGCCGCCAACGAACGAGCAGACAACGCCGAGAGCCGGCCCTTTTGCAGACAAGGAACTGCAGTCCCCTGCTGTTACCGCGCCTGTCTTTTTTGTTTCTGCGACTGTCGCCGCCTGCGGAACGCGCGCCGCTTTTGAGTCGAAAAGATTGTCTGCTAAAAAGGCCTGCTCTCGGCGCCGTATGCTCGTTCGTTGGCGGCGTTTGTTGTGCCCTCTCGTCTCCCGTGCAAAACGGCGCCGTGTTGTTTGCAGATCGGTGGCGTCACTGCGTTTCCATAGGAGCTAAGCCTTTTTCTTTCTTTACTTTTTCCTCAGGTAAGTTCGCTCTTCGCAAATTTTACAAAAAAAAATGCACAATCTGTGGGCAACGCTGCAGAAAGTCGTAGCGCGATAGGTTAAGAAACCGAATTTTCCGGTCGATTTAAAGAGCCTGGCGTCTCCTTGTTTCACCCTGTAGTTTTAGTTGGTGTTGGTACACGGGTTCCATCAGGCAGTTCTGACAACAATGAACTTTGACTGTACACGAAGAACCATAAATTATTTATGATCCTTGAAGTGTGCGCAGTGTTGGATCCTACATCAACTCAATATAATAAGCCTCAAGGCTTGGTTTGTCCGGTATGACAACAGGGTGGCTAGTGTGACCGCAGTAAAGTTCATAGCAGTATGGTAGTATTCCTAGGTAAACAATAACAAACATGACTGAACTTCCGGCAGGCAGCCGTCTCATCCGGTCTGGCGCTCTCGCGGTGTGTTTTGATGGGCGAAAATGAGCAGCGGATATTTTAAGTGCCTTTCAGAAGAAAATAAGAGGCAATATATCGAGAAGCTCACCTACCATGGGTCAGTGTGCCTCCCTGACCCCTATGACACCAAGAACGCGACTATTTTCTCATCCGATTTGGCGCGCTTGCCAAAAGTTACGTGGCCCTTCCTGTTTGACTAACTTGTTGAGACGCCTTGCCCATTCACACGCGAGAAGTTGAAAGCTCACAAATCTCTGGAAGCATTCAATTATTTTGTTAATGGAAAGGTAGCAAGTGTGTGCATGCACCAGCCCACTTCGCTCCCTCAACTGCGCCTCATCGCTGCAACTGTGCAAGCCGGACAGAAAGGAGCTCGCAGTTACGATTCCTGGATCATAGGTGAAGATGGTGGCGAGGTCCTGGCTGGGCACTGCACCTGTATGGCTGGGTTAGTGGACCATGATTAATTTAAGGATGCGCTGTTAGCGATATTGAAGATGCCCCGTTTTGACGTGGCGTTTGCTTGCTTCGGTACACTCTAATCATGGTAACCTTTAACGTAACTTTTAATAGTGAGTAACCTATAAAATAAAGGTTACAAGTCGTTTATTTTTCGTGTTTTCGTTATTCTTGCGGTGACTAAAGGTTACAACAGCCAAAATTTGACGATGCAAAGGTTACCATGAGAATTAGAGCCATGTAACTTTTGTGCAGTAACGTATGAATGACGTAGGAACCTATGCACTCTCGTCCGAAAAAAAAGAAAACACCGCCTGATGAGAGTCCCTCTTTCACCAGGAGAGGGAAACAGCAGAGGAGCGCGTCGACAAGGCCACCAAGGCTCCGAGGTTTCATTTTTATAGCTTTAGTTTTAACGCGAAAGAAGTATACTTCTTTCGCGTTAAAACTAAAGCTTCTTTCGCGTTAAAACTAAAGCTATAAAAATGAAACCTCGGAGCCTTGGTGGCCTTGTCGACGCGCTCCTCTGCTGTTTCCCTCTCCTGGTGAAAGAGGGACTCTCATCAGGCGATGTTTTCTTTTTTTTTTTTTTTCGGGCGCCTTGCTGGCAGCATTTTTTTGCAATAAAAAGAAGAGCAAAGAAAAACAATGGCTGTGAAAGCCTGAGTTGCTTAGCGGTGTTGCATGCTGGGAAGTCAGTACGGCGGGAATGAGTGACCGCTGTCGCGGCTGTCTCGCGTGCGCCCGCGCCGTTTGAGTGCCATTTTTTGGCGGCACATTTCTTGCGCCAATACTCTGTTCGGAGCGAGTTGGAAGACTCTCGGTCTGTTTCGACAAACCACGGAAGCAGTTATGCCGCTAACCAGCAGGGACATGTGGGGTGTACAGCGCGGCTGTTGCAGGGAGCCTTTGTGTGACTGTCAGCGCTACGTCGTCGTGTGCCCATCAGACGAAAGCGCGGCAAAGATTCGTTGTGAGTTCTGCAATCACTGCCCAAGCATTCACGGAAGAATCACCGATTTGGGTAAGTGACGTTTCTTCCTAGCGGAACCGTTGCAGTAGCGACGTGCGAGCTCTCATTTTCAAAGCTCGTTATTTGTGTGCATTTAGGACCAAAATGATTCTGAGCCGTTTTATACGAGCGCATGTCTGTCCTCGTGGCACTCTGTGTCGATTTAGTTCTTTTTATGTGTAATGCCTGTAGATGAGCCCTACCGTAGCTGTCTAGTGTCGTCAGTGAACGGCGTGGTGGTAATGCACGACTAATTACTGCCTATTTACATGCTTGCGCGCGCGGTGGGGATATGCGTGCTTTTGTGCATTTTACATAGGCGCAAGCTTGCAATGCACGGCTGCGGTATTATTATTTTTGCTAACTGAATTTTGTAATTCTGTACGTTTTATCACTCCTTGCGGAATGGCTTTTGCACCGAAACTTTTCGCGCTACGTTCAGGGTACAAGAAAATATTTAATGTGTGGCATGCAGAATTGATATAGGTATATATCCCTGTTTTAGTCAAGAAATGAAACATCCTGCTCGTTTAAGGTGTGGTGCAGAATGAACGGTGTAGGACAAACAATTATCTCGTTTTATTCTGCAATTATTCCGTCACGTTTATTTATTTATTTTTATTCTACCAATAGGTGACACAGAGCAAGGACTTACTGTGCCACCTATTCTACCAATAGTTGGCACAGGGATAAATGGACCGAGTGAAGTGCAACAGCCGTATCATCCTGATTGTTCGAAAGGTTGGTGGGCGCAACATGCTCGCAAATATATATTAAAAAATCCCGTTATTTTACTGAAAGTCGCGCCTTAATAGCCAATCACTGTGTCCTAAATGAACCGCTAGTTCGATGCAGATTTTTTTTTATTGCTTTCTGATTTTTAAGTTTACATTTTACCGGTACGATAATAATTTACCACTAATTACTGCCAGATCACATGCCTTTGAGAAAAGTGGTACCGTGCATGCTTTTAATGCTTGATTTACGCAAGCCTTCAGTGTATCGCTATATAAGTGTTCAAGACGTAAGTTCTAGAATTCCGTTCATATTTTCGATGCTTATGGGCTTATTTATGCATGACAAGTTCTTGGTGCTGTATTCCGCGCACGAGGATAATATTTCTTGCTTGGCTACAGAATGGATGTATGCATGGACCATGCTTTATTTAACATGCAATCCAGCCTGCTCGACTGAGTCATCAGTGCAGCATCGGCGGCGTGAAGCAACCAATAGTAAAGTAGTGCAATTTCCCGCTTCGTTGTGAACTGATCCCATCTGTTTTTACCCTTTGTTCTACCTACGGAACACAGACCACGAGAGAGAAGTTGCCGAAGTGCTGCAAGAGAGTGCACAGCCTGGCTGCTCGAAAGATGGCTCACTATGGGTGGAAGCTCCACCTCCTTCGGACCTTCCTGTAGACATGAGCCAGCAACTTGCCATTAATGAAGCTCCTGCGCCATCAAAACCTGCACCCAAGGTCAGCAAACACGTTTGTGTGGCGTGCAGGTTCACCAGCAGGCATTTTTATGCCTTTATGCGACATGTTCGGGAAGTGCACATGTACAAGGTTGCTTTGGTGTGCACTAGGTGTCGGAAGCGATTTGTCTGCATGGCTCAATATAAATTGCATACCAATTGAAGATGCACATCTTCAGAAAGCAATGATTACCGCGTTCTAAATAGGCATGAAAAGCAATATACTGTTGACTTGGCTGAGAATCGGACATCATTTTTTAATACAGCCGAAAGCTTAAGCAATGCTTCGTCAAGTGTTGCGTCTTGTTTTGAGGAAACTGATTTGGATTGCGACTTAGAAAGTTTTCCAAGCCCAGATATTCTTACAAAGCTGTCATGTCTGGCGAGACAGCTTGAGTCGCAATATCGCTGTCCGATTGTTGGAGTTGATGGAGTTGTTGCTAAAATAGCAGACATCTTACAGACTGCTGGTACCGCAATCGATGTGTCCGCACTCGAAAATGACCGCGCAAGAAAGGCCCTGTACACTTCTCAGGGGATTTATGTTCCACCAGAGGAAGTAAAACTTCCGCATGGTGAAAAAGCTTACTTTGTGCCACTCAAGAGACTAATTGAAAATTTGCTTCGTCATCCAATCTTTTCCCGCCACTTTCAGTCTCCATTGCAGACTTCAAACAGTGCGTTGCTAAAAGATTTTACTGATGGCATGCGAGTTCAAATGCACCCAGTAGCAAGCACCCAAGAGAAGAACACTATTGTGATGCTTTTGTATTGCGATGACATTGAATTGGCCAATCCACTAGGCATGAAAAGAGGTCGCAGAGGCAAGCTAACAGTATTTTATGTCTCTTTTGTAAACCTACCACCATCAGAAAGGTCCAAGCTAGCCAACATTTTTTTGCTTGGAGTGGGGCAAGCAAAAGCTCTTAAATCATTAGAAGCAAAACATATGCTTCTTCAAGACTTCATTGCCACTCTAAATTTACTTCACAGAGGCTGCACGTTAAAAACTGTATGTGGTGAAAAGCTCTTTTTTGGTTTTTTGCTTGCCTATATTGGAGACGCATTGGCATGTCACAATATAGCAGCCTTTAAGGAAAGCTTCAGCAAAAATGTTCGCCTTGCTTGTCGAACTTGCACAGTACCCGCATCTGAATTTCATAATTTTCACTATGAAATTCAATGTCCACTACGTACAGAGTCTCAATATAAAGAGAACCTTAGGGCAATTGAGGCAGCTAGCTCAAAGAAAGACCGTACTGAATTGTCAGCACAGTGCGGGATTAAGTCAAAATCAGTCCTCGCAGAAATTCCTAATTTCTCAATACTCACGGACTTGCTGTATGACCCTATGCACATTTTGTTGGAAAGAGTCATTCCTCTGGAGTTGACACTTTTCACTAAGTTCATTGTAAGGGAGGCAGCATGGATGACCTTAAGCCAGCTTAACACTGCCTTGTCTCGGTTCTGCTTTCATAGGCAAGTGAGTAAGAGTGACTATCCTCGCAGCTTTGAATCTGACTTCAGTTTTCCATTTGCAGCAAGCTCCAGTTTAATACTCCATCTTCATTTTCTTTTTATTATTGATGAATATCTGCCTGAAGAGGCTACGGAAGAACCACATTGTGAATGTTTTGTGCTGCTTTGCATCATCACACAGTTATTTCTTTCTCCTGCTATCTCCCCAGATGCACATGGAGACATTGAGTGCCTAGTAGCACGCCATAATGAGCTTTTTGTGCAGCTGTATGGTTCCAGCTCATTTAAACCGAAATTGCACATGCTGGTGCACATGGTCACTCAGATACGGCGCTTCGGTCCTTCCCATCATCATTGGACAATGAGATTCGAAAGTAAAAACGCTCTTCCAAAGTCGAAGAAGTTCTGGAATTTCAAAAATATTCCATTATCTGTCGCAAATTACTTTCAGATGAAAATGTCAAGTGACCTGTGGTTAGGACCAGGGCAGCCTAAGCTGAGCTTTGCACAATGTGACACTGCACCAGCAGCCGGTGTACCAGTCAGCTTAACATCTGATTTTTTGCCATGTGAACTGCAGCCTAATGCCGTTGGTCAAACTGTTATGTCCGTACGTTCTGCCTTTATCTCTGGTGTCAAGATCTCTATTTCTGATGTGGTTGTGTTTGAACAAAATGACCATGCAATGTTTGGGGAAATAGAAACAATTGTACCTTGGCAAGGCAAGATTTTCATCGCTGTTCTGGTTCTGGTCAAAGTGAGCTATTCAAAGCGACTGAATGCATTTATTCTTCTCAAGACACCACACGCCATAGTGATTAAACCTGACGATCTTTTGTATCCTTGGCCACTGTATACGTATGCTAAAAATGAGGCTTTTTATGCTATTACAAAATGTATTCATGTGTCACCTCTGTAGTGAAGCCTGCTGTTTTTTAGCGATTTTTTTTTCGCAACGTGGCTTATTGTAAATTAAGTGAGCCTGTTTGTTGTGACAGGTGTTTTGGAAATAAAGCTTGGTTTATTTCCTCTTAGGTATTCTGTGACTGGCTCCTTGCAAACATGCCAGAATTCTCTGACTGTGTTCAGCCTATCCTGAAAGGGAAAGCTGTCTCGGAAAAGTCACAAACAAAACTGTCAAGACAGCTGCGTGCAGAAATGACGTTATTCCTGGAGTAAGTTCTCCTGTTTGCTCTTTGTTGAAGCTAACTATATCTTGTTGACATTTTTTATTGTTTCATATGGAGCTTCCAAAAATGCACCATAATATACGTGAGGTAGCGACTTTAGACTAACGGATGGACATTCTACAAATCTAGTCGGCCAGTTCGCATCAGGTCCTGGTTTAGCATATAGCATACGGACAGGAAAGAAAGATGCGGTGCATGAGCAGATGATTGCATGGTATATTTTCAGATTTCATAGGCCTCCCTGAAAGTATAGGAAAGCTAACCCATAAAACACATAATGCCAGCATACTTTTAAACCTTACCTTAAGTCGCAAGCAACATTTGGTTATGTCAGTGGCCCTTGCCTATATAGTATATTTAAGCTCATTTTCACTTTCCTTTGGCGAAGGTTAGACAGAAACGTCTTAGTAGTGAAGCATTATTTCTCTTCTAGTGAGCATGATCTCATTACCACTGGGAACAAGGGCGAACGGCGCTCGATGTACAAAGCCCTTGGGGAGGCACTTGCCACGAAATACCCACTTCTTTTGTGGGATGAGCCAAAACCTGAGAGCCATCTTGTTGACAAACGGACTCATGTTTACGTAAGTACCTGGACATAGCTTATTCCTAAAATAGACTAATGTTCCTATAGCAGTGAGGGTTGTCGTTTATACAGTTATTCATAGCAGTTTTGTTGTCTTAAGATAAATGTCTATCATAAGTATACTTGATATCAGAAGACACCCTATCGGTAAATTGTGTTCAGAGATGCGATTGCCTACCTTCCACTTTTCTTCCTCGCATATTTTGATGCATATGTGATATACAAAAAACTAATTTATTTATTCAAATACCCAAAAGGCTCGAGATATATAAGCAGTAGCGGTATTCATTATAATTCGTCTCGTGCAGCTTAAATGGATAGCTTTTATATTCCTTGGCATCTTTTGCCAATGCTGCTAGCTGTTTCTAAGCTTTTATACTGTTAAAATTTTAAATATAAAGTTTTTTTATCGGACACCAGTGCAAGAACATTATTTTTTGTTGTTGCAAGAGGTACTGTACTTTTATTAATTTGCAGAGCCTATTCATAAGGAGGCTGACAGTGGCCCGAAAGGTGCGGAAGCACAGGAAGATGAGAAGTGCAGCTGCTGTAACTCCTTCCATGCCTACTCCAGCGCTCACAAAGGAGGCTCACAAACCTCCAGCTCGCTGCCGCCGAGCTGGAGGTTCGCATAATTTTCATTTCACATTTATTTTTTACATATGTTGCTCGAATGTTTCTTGTTGCACTGTTCCAGGCTCTCAGATCGGCTGACCTGAGCACCGTGGCACTGGATATCGAAAGAATGAAATGCCTTCTTGAGGTCACTTACGAAGATCGCTGCAAGCGTCACGATGATCCTTTGCCTCAATATTTCTTGTTAGAAAGCATTGTAAGTGCATATTTATTTACGAATATTAAAAGAACACAAAAACTCGGCATTGCCTAATATTCTCCTCTAAAACAGAGAACCGATCATGTAATTATTATTTGTGGTATGGGTCAAGCTTTGCCTTCTGATCAATTGTAAATGAACCGATTTATAATTATTTTTCTCGTTTTTGGTTGTGATGGCACGAAGGATATCAAAAGGCACTTTTGCGAGAAATATATATATATATATATATATATATATATATATATATATATATATATATATATATATATATATATATATATATATATATATGTGTGTGTGTGTGTATATATTTCATTTCATTTCATCGCACCACCTTTTCTTCAGGGATGTCTGATTTGCAATTAATGACTGAGTTTACTTCCTTGTACCAACTTTTCTCAGCTCTGCACTGAAGTCGAACTCCGATTTAAGTGCAAGGTTGGGGACCTGGAGAAAAAGGTGAAAGCGGTGGTGGAAGCGTTTTCACATAAAGAAGAACGGGAATGCACATTCGTCGACATTGGCAAGCATTTACAAGGCCATTCTAGGCACACACTCATCAACGAGGTTTGTGGAATTATTTTCATGCATCCATCTATTAGTTTTTGTGACATCCAGTGCATTTTTGTGCTTTAAGATTCATTCAAATGAAGGTTAAGTGATATCTAAATGCTCTTCCAAAGACTGTTTTGTGCGACACTTATTTCACTTATGCGGGGAACTTCGTTGATTACTGGATGCTCATGGAATATAATCTGCCATTCCACAGAATGCAATGCCTAATAACCTGCAAGTCACAGCACCTCATGTGTATATATACTGCGCTGAACGCACTTGCGTTTATGCTGGCAGTACTGAAGAAGTCATCTGGATCTCGGGTGGAAATCTAGAGCGAGCTCTGATTTTCTGCCTGCTGACGTACTACATTAAGAACCTTGACTACCCACCAGCGTTCTCAACGGTGCTCGTCTTACTGCAGAAGATAACTCTACCTGACACAAAAGTGCCCCGTGGACTGCTCACGAACCGGCTGAAAAATTTGCTCATTATGTTGAAGAAGAACAATTTGTGTTAACTTTTCGAAAGCAAATACCATTAAAAATAGGTTGCGTCCTGAGATGGGGAAGTAAATGTCGTCTGGTCCCTTGAGTTCTTTCTTCTGAATCGCAGAATACTTTTTCTTGTCTTGCAGTGAATGTTGTCATTTTTAAAGTGCCGTTCACTTTAAGTTCACCTTATTCTACCGAATCATGGGTTAGGTTTTACTAACAGGTTCATGTGTTATAATATAGAGTAAGAGACCATAAAAAAATTAACAACTCTATAGCTCATACACTTCTGTTTTCCGTGCTGCATATATATCCATTTCACAGCTCCTATTATAGTTTCCCTTTAACAACTGTGATGTACTTTATAGTTACAGTTTTGAATTATTTTTAGCACTTGTATTTTATGTTCATTATGTCTATCGTACAGCAGCTAAACTGTCTTTACACATCGTTTTACATAAGTCATTTTTTTTTTCTGTTCGGTTCTGTTGTACGAGTGCCAGTGTGGTTTCGTAACTATAGATGTAAAGGCCATGCTGGTTAATCCGAAGCTTCTGTCGAAGTGAGATTTAACGTGAGTTTATTTGCTTTCTTTAAGCGAATTTTGAACTTTTTTTGTGTGCGGCTAGCACTGATATAATATGGCCTTAGATTCTAAAGTGCTTTGTACACCGCTCAACAGCGCTCTTTGTGATGCATATATGCTACGATACCTGCTAACCGCTTACGATAATAGTGCCTTTACATTATGGACGTAATTTATATCGCAGCTTTTTATTGATGTATCCCAGACTCGGGAATTTGTGATTATGTATATTCTGATACTTCGGAATCAATTGCCGTTTTTGTATATTACAGTATTTTTTTTGTTCTCTAGTTTTTCACTATTTTATGGGTTGTCCTATTTTTGTACGGGTCAAATCACAATCGAGCAGGATGCTTTTTGTGAATTTTCGCCAAAAATGCCATTTTTAATAAAAGGATTTCTTATTCCAGCTGTTGCTTCACTCAAAGGTTACACGAACACATGGAAGTTACCTATAACTTTCTGGCGGGCAGATACCTTTATAAAGGTTACAATGCTAACGAGATTGTAACCTTTCTATAAGTAAATTAGAGGTAACCTTTGCCACTAACTTTTACAAAAGTTACATTAGTAAAGGTTACATTTGTGTAACCTTTAACTTATAGGTGCACAAAAATGTGAAAACGTGCACCTTTACAAAGGTTACCATGATTAGAGTGTACCTCAGGCTCGGAGAGGTTTGCAGTCACGTTGCTGCCCTACTCTTTTTCTTCGAGGCTGCGGTCAGACACGGAGCCACCGATGTGTCCTCGACCTCAGTGCGCTGTGCATGAAGTGCCAGCTCAAACAGTGGAAAGGTATTACATGTTTGTCTACTGAATTCTTACTGCAAGATAAATTGACGCAAACAAGATACACTGATTACCTTTGTTTCAGGAGCTTCTAAAAATAATTTGAAAAAATCATCATTCCGATTGATTTGTCTACCGTAATATACCGCGTAATCGCCCCCCCTCGTGTGAGCGCCCCCTCCCTTTTTCCGCACATTTCGCATTTCTGTAAACTACCAAGTAAGCGCCCCCCCCCCCCTCCCCCCTTTTTCCGCTGCCGGTGGCCCCGAAAAAAGTTTCGTTCTGGAAGTTTTGTTTTTATGTGTAGCCAGGGATCCAATCCAATCCAAAAGTAAATGTGAACCACGTGAACCTTTTGTTCGCCTTTTTGTTGTTTGACAGCGCCGGAACCGGTCGCGTTACTGCGTGCGCTATGCACTCGTACACTGTCCAAAAGAAGATAGAGGTCGTCCAGTGGCACAGGCTGAATGGCAAGAACGTGCATCGGACATCGCGTCAGTTCAAGCTTGATCGCAAGAGAATCCGCGAATGGGACAAGAAGTATGAAGTGCTTCTTCAAGAGAACTTCGGAAAGTCGAAGTTACGACGCAAGTTGGGAAACGGAGCCCCCGTTTTCAGCGAGGAAGTGGACGACGCGCTTTTTGAATTTCTTGAGTGCGAAAGAAGTGCTGGACGCGCCGTCAGCAACAGGCTCCTTTCTAAAGAAGCTGTGAGGCTAGCAAATAACCTACAGCTGGGCAATTTTGTGGCCTCCAGTATGTATTTAAAAAGGTGGAAGGCGCGGTTCGGTGTTTCGATGCGGCAAGCAACTAATGAGAGCCAAAGAGTGCCCGAGGACTGCGCGGAGGAGACGCGAGCATTCCGTGCTGCAATCGGCTCTCTGCGAAGTCGCCACAACCTGACTCTATTCAACATAGCGAATATGGATCAAACAATTGTCCGAATGGACACTCCGGCAAACCGGACCAACAACCTCGTGGGAGAAAGTACTGTCCGGATTACAAACACCGGCTGTGCCAGGCGGGGTTTAACGGTTGCCTTAGCAGCCTGCGGCTCTGGTCACAAGCTCCCGGCGTTTATCATCTTGAAGGAGCCGAACGGAAAAATTCAAGCGAGGGCCTTCATGAGCTCTCGTGTACCAGGTGAGAACAACATTTCGCTTGCTATTTTGCCACCGAGAGAAATAGTATAATGCATTATGAGCTCGCGTTAAATACAATGTCTTTTTTTTTGTTTCATCTTTAGCGAATTGCCGCGTGACCGCTTCTAAAAATGGCTGGATGACTTCGGAGAAGTTCAAGGAGTGGCTGACCAAGGTATGGGGCCCTAACACTGACGACGAACGGCGGCTCCTAGTGTTGGACCAGGCGCCAATACACAAGACCCAAGCGGCAAAAGATGCAATTCAGGAATGCGACACTGACATTGTGTACGTGCCAGCCGGTTGCACCAGCCTTCTTCAACCTGCCGACGTCTTTTGGAACAAGCCGTTTAAGGCCAATCTTCGGAGAACCTCGGAGGCCTTTATGCGGAAGGGAGAGAAAACGCCGAAGGGAAACCTGCGGAAACCATCACAGCAGGATGTGCTGGACTTTGTGGCTGAGGCGTGGGCTGTTGTCCCAGAGGAAACCGTAGAGCGCTCGTTCAAGGGCTGCGGCATTACGAACGCGCTCGACGGGTCCGAGGACGGTGAGCTGCACGATCAGCTCGCTGACATCGGCGCCGTGGTCCAGGAAGACCGCGACGAGCTGAGGGATGAGTGTGTGGACCTGGTTTTTGGGTCAGACTCTGAGGAATCCTTCGATGGTTTCGACAGCGAATAAAAGGATAAAGTTCGCAAGGAAACTGTCTACGAAAATCATTTTTGCTAAGACTGCAGTCTACATTGCATACTTTTAGTGGCCGCCATTTTCTTTATCCGCCATCTTGAATATTGTTGCGGAACCGAGGAAGGGCCCTCCCCCCCCCCCCCCCCCCTATTTTGGTTGAATTATCTCTTGAGTTGGGGGGGGGCGCTTTCTCGGTATTTTACGGTATGCAAGTCGTGCGCATCTACCCCTAAATATGCACCTGCCCATTCTAAATGTTTGTATACTCGTCTCGCTTTAAATCTAGGCTGGCCCATCATCTGCTGTGGACATAGACTTTTCGCACCCAAAACGTGGTGGCCTGCCAAAAGAGCCAGCTTCACAAAGGATGATTGTTCCACCACAGCCCAAAGGCAATCCCTTACAACTCTTCCTCCGCATAAAGGTATGTGTCCATTGCCAAAGGAACTGCAGCTATACCAGATTTTTTTGTAAATTGATGAAACAGCTTTAGGTAAACATCTCTGAACAACTGAAGGATGGGACAGTAGCATGTTAAATCCTAATCAAGCAGGCCTCGAGTACCAATGGTACTTCAAACATTTTCTTTCTGGAAAGGCGTGGTCAGTAGGGTTGAGCCCCATCGACACTTTCGTACGTTCAGAGAGATTACCTCTTGATTCTATGAACACTATAGAGATCAATGAGGTAAACAACTATGCCTACTCGAGTAAATATATAATCCAGCAAGTAAACACTGGCTCAGATTTTCTTAATGGTGCACCTCTTGCAGTTTTATGACATACGTGGATTTACTGCATTGAAATATCTCCCATATGTATAAGCCAAGGGATTTATTAAGCACAGTTTCTATTTACCATGATAATACTGCAAATGTCTGTACTATACTTTTCTAGCAGCACAATCAGAGTCTGCATGCACCTTCATTTTGGCTGCATGTGCAGCCAAAGCACCTCTCGAAGCCGCAGCCTCATGCCTGTGCACTCAACAAAACTGCACCAATCGTCCTCTTATATGCACATTCCAACCTTACTAGCCATGGCAGCTTTCGCCCCTCTTTTATAGATAGTGAATGCAGCCACTTGTACTGTTTATTTGGTTTGTTCGTCATATTATGCTACCGTAAAGCTCTTCATTGGTGCACAACCCTGTCACCACCTGTTAAATAAAACCAATTGTAATTTCAAACTTCAAAATCGCATCGGTTTCTCTGATAACATAACAGTACCTCATCATGCTGCAGTGAAGCATTATCTAGAACATAACCAGTACCACCCATGGTTACTCTTGCAGGAACGCTCTCCAGGTGCAAAGCTCTTGAAGATGGTGCCCTCTCACCAGCTGGATCCAGAGGCCACAGACACGGCTTCAGAGGATGGGGATGAGCCTGAGCTGCTCCCACTTCCCCTCACAAGTGTCTTTCAGGAGACCTACAAAAACTTGCAAAAGGACGAGCTCAAAGACATCCTCATCTCGGTCTACGATTGCCTTATGGTCAGCAAGGTAGAGGCAGACTTCTTAGAGCACAGCTCGCGGAAGCAGTCGCGGTCGGAAGCATGGCACTTACACAGGAGGGGGCGCATTACTGCATCAAATTTCTGAAGAGTGCAGACTCCGCAAGGAAGCCCTAGCCCAACACTCCTGATTACAGATGTGATGGGTTATGCCACAAACACTAACATCGGTGGCCAGATGCCTCCACAAATTTTGTGGGGCATTGAAAAGGAGCCAGTTGCGAGGCAAAGCTTCGTGGACACAGAGGCACCAAAGCACACCGACTTTAGTGTTGCAAAAGTGGGACTCGTGGTTAATCCACAGTTGCCATACCTGGGAGCTAGCCCAGATGGGATAGTCAGCTGTGCATGTTGCCCCCAGGCTGC